CCTGGGCCTTTACGGCAGGCTCGTGGGGAAGCAAGGGTTGCCAAGCCATCACCCTCCCATTGAAGTGACCGCCTGCGAGAGGAGCAGCCCTCTCCGGCCACCTCAAAGCCCCCAGTTAAATCCCCTCTGTGGCTAAAAGTGTTTTTTAATCCTCGCAGCAGACACCCTCCTCAGCCAGCCCCATACAGCGCCGCAGCAAAGTCCGCCCCGCAGGCGGCTGGCATTGGAGGGGGACTGTTGGCTAATCCAACATGCAGCCCTAGGGTACAGAGGGATCCCTGCACCAAAACCAACACCAGCACGGCCTACCAGCCGCCCCAGCTCGGTATTTGGGGCCTCGGGGCAGCGCACGAGGCGCCGCTCAGCTCCTGGGCGCCATCACGTTTCAGGAGGAGGGGACACGTAGCAGGAGATGTGCAAGGACGCAAGCGGCTTCGGAGAGCAAGGAGCCCTTTGGGGTGTTTGGGCCACGAATGTAACCCACCGCGCAGGGACAGTTAAAGCTGCCTGCCCTACGTTTACTGCCTGGCAGCAGCCCTGCGACGTTCTCACGAGCGGGCTCCGAGTGGCTGAGGTTGCCCCCAAGACACCATGGGCTACTGAGCACGAGCGTGCTGTGCACAGGCTACCGGATGCACCAGCGATCGCCCTGGCATTTTCCTTTCCCCTGAGGCTGACCGTTTGGGACTGGCAGTACAGCTGAACCAGGATCAGTGCCACACACAACGCAGCCTCGCTCCCCGCTGCACAGAGAAAAGCAGGGGTGCAGACAGGAGGGAGCTCATTTTTCCCAGAGGGTGATACTGCTCTCCGGGAAGGGCTGTTTAACGAAACGTCATGGCTCCCACACTGGCGGAACAACCGAAGCTGGGCATCCGAATCCACCTTCCCATGGATTTTGGAAACCAGTTCTATGAGAAGGGTTTAAATCAATTTGGAGCTGTGGCTGGCGTTTTGTCCACTGCAGCTGGAGTTGGAGAGGAGCAGCTCCCGGCTGGGGAGCCTCCGCACCCTTTGCGCTCCCCAAAGGCAGCAGGGCCACCCGAATCCTGCCCGTCCTTATGCAGGGCCGAGCGCATCTTTCCTAGCGGCGCCCGCTCGTGTCCCCTGCGGCCGAGCCCACAATGCTCGCACATGGACAGGGTTGTAGTAAAGTACACGGGTTTATTTAGTCGATATGTGTCTTTACAGAATGCAGAAAAACACATCTTTAAAATAATTATATATGGAAATAAAAACATCAGTGGTTGGTGAACACTTTAATACATGATTCTCTCAACATTACAGTGTCTAGTGGCATAAATAAAGAGCTCTGGCGCTACGGGGAAGGCAGCTGATGAGAATGCCTTTGCCATTACTATTCTGTTCACTGCCCCTTCGCCTCCAGTTTCTATGGTGACAGGTAGGCCCCTGCCTGACGCGCTCTGCGCTTGCGCCCCGCTGGCGCTGAGCGGCTGGCAGCGAGAGCAGCGCGGCTCAGGAGGCTCTCCCCAGCACGCGGAGCGGCCCGGGTCTGCCGGAGAGGCACCGACGCGAGCTTGTGCCCCGCAGAGCTGCGCTGCGCCGCTCACGCCAACCCAACGCACCCGGGGAGCAGGGGCGAGCAGCTTTCGGACCGTCTGACGGTCGCGAAAACAAGACGGAGGCGGCAACAGCCCCCGCCGCGGCTGCACAAGGGCTGCTGAGCTACCAGGGCCCTGCCAAGATCAGACACAGCACCTGCTCCTGACAGCAGTGAAAAGGCTCCAAGGAAAAAGCCATCCCAGCAAGGAAGAGATGAAGGTCGTTTTGGCCGTTCATCTGCTAGCATGCAACTGGCCATGTCAGCACACAAACATACTTTGCAAAACAGTCAATATGGCTTAAAGTGTCTGCTTGGTGTGCAAAGTCAGCCAGTGTCTGCCCAGCCCTATCCCCAGTGAGGGCAGGGGCACATTATTGCAAAGGATTTTTCCTCCCTCTAAAAGGTACCAAAAATAGTTCTCAAATGGTGAAAAAGAAATCCATTCTTAAAATGATTTAGTCCAAAGGAGAAAAAATAAAAATAAAATAGAATAAAGCAAGAGGCAGCCATCAGGGGCTGCCCTGACCTTGCAGGAGAGATGGGTGCAAGGTCCTGTTACGAAGGCAAGAAACCTAACCATGGCTCTGATATTTAACAATGACGATGAGAGACAAACTCAATGTGAGCAAAGCAGTCAGTCCCACTGAGTTGATACTAAGAAGCTAAGCTCATACAAACTGCTGTCAGCGTTACCATTTTTTAATTCTTTTTTAATAAAACAATTTGAGGCTGTATCAAAAATTTAGTAAAAAATTAGATTTGAGTTCACTGATTCTTCTGACTATTAACTATTTCTGGCGCTTTTTTTTATTATTTTTTATCTTTTCCTTTTCCAACAGCCAGACGGCTTCACCCGCATCTGTGCGCAGAGCAGATCAGGAGGAAGTCTGCAGCCCAGGGTGGTTGGGAGAGCTGGGGGCAGGCAAGAGGCTGTTCCGATATGACACTCAAAGAGGAGTAAAAGTGAAGAGATGGTATTGCATGACAGGAAAATATCCCATCATTGCCAAAACACCCGGGGAGTTTAAAAAAAAAAAGAAAAGAAAAATCCACCCAAACCCATTGCAACCTTCACTGTTGAAAGGGAGAAGTCGGTGCAGCGCAGAGCCTGTTTCCAGTTGCTGGCAGAGCCCTGCACCCTGCAGGTGCCTCGGCACTTGGCTCCGCTCGGGAAGCCCCTGGAGCCTTCTCCGAGCTCCTCTCCCCAAGCACAGCGCTGCCCGCGGGACAGCGAGAGCATCCCAAGACGCAGGCAGCTGCCCCTACACTTAGCTGAAGGTACCCCAAGCCAGTCTGACTAAACTGATGGTTATTTTATGATGCATGAGAGAAACAGGATTTCTCAGATTAAAAAAAAAAAAAAGAAAAGAAAAAGAAAAAAAGAAACCAACCTCCCCCCCCACCAATAATCTGTCCTCTAGGTCCACCCTATAACTAGGCCTGAAAAACCCCCGGAGCTTATTTTTAGCACAGCACTTCCCTCCCTTGTCCCCAAAACTATACATACAAGTTTAGGTAAACAGCAGATTAAATGTAAAAACTTAAACATTGACTTCAGAAAGTCCCTTGAATTTAATTATTTTTAGGCTACCTTTCATGTTACGTCCTGTAGCTAGACACACGTGAATAGAAAAAAAACAGTACAGTTAGTGTTAAAGGCAAACAGCGGAGACCCAGAGTGCTACCCTAGTGCTGCCTGCTCGTCCATCCCTCCCTCCCTCCCTCGCCCTCCGCACAAGTCCCCGGCCACATCGAGAAGCCTGCCGCCAGAAATATGTTTTTGAGCCAAGAATTTTTCTATGAATAAAATAAAATAAAAGCTTGTTAGGCAAAAATAAAACAAGTGTCCCCCAAGTTCCACAAGCACTCTGGTGTAGTGGATGCAGCCGGACAGGGCCTGCTTGGGACCGGGCTGGGATTGAGAGTGTCGGTTCCTGGTTGGCGAGGGGGCTGCAGGCCCACAGACAGCACTGGTGTGGAACTAGAGGCCCCTTCTCCACCAAGAGTCTCCCATTTGTTAAGGGGGGACATAGGGTGGTGGGGACCTGTAAGGGGTCATGTTCTTTGGGCGGGAGCCTTTCCCCTCCATAGGTGCAGTGAAGGGTGGGGGTGGCTGGTAGGGCGGCGCATTGGGGTCCTCGTCGCGCAGTGGCGTATACTCCCCGATGGTCTCCTGGTTGAGTGGCGTGGTCTCCGGCATACTCTGGTTGGGATATTCGGGAGGGGGCAGTGGGGCTTTCTCCTCCTGGAGGATGAGGGGCATGCTGGAAGATGGTGGAGGCTTGGAGTCGTCCAGCTCATCAGCAAAGATGATGGGCACACCTTTCTTTATGAAGGTGGCCTGGTCTTCAATGGTGAGCTTCCCTTTCCTCTTCTTGCGGTAGCAGATCATGGCAATGATGCCAGCCACAAGGAGGATGGCCGCCACCACCACGGCAGGGATGACGGTGTGCAGATACACATCGTCCTCGCTGCTCTTCTCGGGGTCTTTGCCGGCTGCCACTGTTGGCGTAGCCTCCGAGATCACCCTCCCGTCCTTTGTCACAGGGATAAATTGGATGTGCCTGCAGCTGCCGGAGCCAATAACTGACACGTTCAAAGGCTTGAACTCGGGCTGCAAGATATTTGTGAAAGCCAGGCTTGGGCCACCAGAGTCATCCGCAATTTTTTTGCTCAAAGTCCGGATCTGTTCCCGGGGGCAGGGGTCAAGGGGCAGGGTGTTGTTTGTCCATTCTACTATGATGGAGCCTTTAGCGATGTCCTGCACGGTGATGGTGCTGCTGTTTCTGTCACCAAACGCCAGAGCGAGCTTCTTCACCAGCATAATCTTCTTATTGATGTCATTCATCACTGCATTGTGGTCTCCTTCCAGCCTGGCTTTGAACTTCACTGGAGACTTGTCCCCATGCGGCCGTTTGTGCACGTGGATTTCAAAAGCATCCACAGCAAAAAGCCCACCTTTGTCAGTAGCATACATGAAATATTCATGTTTCCCTATGTGGTTATGGTCTGGCATGCCATACATGAGCTGACTAGTGCTGTTAAACTGGACCCATGAATTCTCTTCTACCATTTGCTGCTCCTTCAGCTTCAGGGTCAGTTGCAGCTTGTCAGTGGTGGTATCTTCCTTGTCGTAGAAGGTATCAGATGGTATTTTAACCTCAAAGTAAGTGCCTTCCCATGCGTCAACCCTGTCAATATGGTTCGTCAACTTGGGTGGCTCATTTGGCTCCCACGGCCGGGGAATCCCACTAGCTGTGGTGCGTACACGGGTTGGTGGGGAGGCAGTTGTCAGTTTAGTGATCGGGGATCTGGTTGTGCTAGGAGGCTTTGTAGGCCGTGGGGTTTTAGGTCTTCGAGTAGGCCTTCGTGTTGTCGCCGTAGAAGAATCTGTTGTGGATGGCGTGGCTGGCTTCAGAGTAGAGACTCTTGGTTTCTTAGTGGTGGTTGTAGGTGGTGTAATCACAGCAGTGGGCTCTATGAACCCGGGCATTGTGGGGCGAATAGGCACAGAGGCTGTGCCTGTGGCTTCTACCACCTTGGTTGGCTGGATTGGTCCCAGAGTAGGCGTTTGGACTATTGGGCCCCTTGTTCTGATGGTGACTGTAGGCTTCCTTGGCAGTGGTATAGGCTCCCTGACTGGGGGAGCTGTCGTCTCTGTGGGAGGCGCAATAGCAGGTGATGTTGGGGTAGGGACAATTCTTGTCGGTGGTTCTTGGGCAGCAGTAGTGGGTGGCCCGATTGCAGTCAAAGGCGTAGGGGTTGCATTGATCTGCCGCCGCATCCTCTTTGGGAGATGAGGCTTCTTGTTAGCAATGTGCCAGCCAACAACCGGGTAGCCAAGGCGGGCAGACATGGTGCCTTCTTTAGCTGGAGCCTCAACGTTGCTGATGTTGGGGACACTGTTTTGGCTCAGAGAACATCCCAGTTTCCATGAGAGTAAGGCCCCATTTTCCACCACCTTCTTTGCATTTCCTGGTCCTGCCATGAAGGCAGACATGTCAAAGAGTCTGTTATTTACAACAGGAACCAACTTCATGTTATGAAGTTCCACCTCTGAGAAGCTTCTCATTCTGTTTAAAAGTTCAATCCTCTGCTTTGGTGTCATTTTTGTTAAGTCAGCATCCAAAATGACAGTCAGGATAGTGACTGGCTCTTCTGCACCACACACAAATGGCGCTGCATCACCCAGATCTTGGACAGCTACTCGCACAGACTGAGGCTCGTTGTGGTCTTCTTGGCGGACCTCAATGGAGAACACGTTTGCAGTCTGTGGCACGTGGCTCCCATTTGGGAAGAGCTGCAGCGTGGTCACCGAGATGTAGTGGACGCCCTTGTCCGTGTCAAGGGGCAGACCTTCCAGTGAGCTGCTCTCTGCATTCCAGTGTAACCATGAAGGCAAGGAATCCTTCCCAGCTTCAGATATCTATCAAACATGAGAGAGAGAAGAAGGTGCTTTTACAAATAGGGTATTAGGACTGATTCTACCAACAATAACATTTTGCTTAAAGGATCTTGGGGGGTGGGGTGGG